ATATATATATATATATATATATATATGGGTGTGTGTCTGTGTGTGCATACTGATGTAATATATAATGACCGGCTACTTTCGTTTCAGAGAACACCTGTTCCTAGGGCAACTAGCATTTCCCCCATGCACGGGCTACGAAATATACGAACATATATATATATATATATATATATATATATATATATATATATATATATATATGAGGAAGTGAATAAAATGTTTTTGATGTTTGATCATTTGATTTTGTGAGTTGGATCGATTGAAAATAGAATCAAGCGTTATTATTATTATTATTATTATTATTATTAAGTTTCTGTCAATAAATTTCAGATTATGTTACGTCAATCTTCTTATTAGAATAGGACAACCTTCTTAGTAAAACAGCATTCGAAAATCTTAGCCTTCATCTGCTTTGAAATACCGAACTCACGTGTATCGATGGGAAATAGAATGGACAAAAGAAACAAATTGAATATAAAGAAAGATATGAATTAGCTGATAGATAGATCGATGCATGCGGGCTTAGATAAATTTGCTACAAATTAGATAAGGAACTTTGTTCTTATTTCACCCAGGATCGATTTTTACAAGTGTTTAATTATTCATATTTTTTTCAGAGTGAAGATTTCGCTTGCATTTTGCTATTTTGTATTAATATTTAATTAAGTTATTACGATCATACATACACTGGGACGTAGAAATACCTGGGTTTATGCCCATGCTCGTTGTTAGCGTGATAGACCTCAAGCTTTAGTTAAGGTATTCTTTTTGTAGAGGGAAAACACTAATATAATATCCGCCTTAGTGCTAATCTGGATATTTAACATATGCTTATCTCTGGGATTATTAGCATTGTTGATGTGAGTCGTTGCGACTATAATTCTGAGCTCAGGCGCTGTTGGCATCTTAACATCTGTTCTTAGTATTTATATTTTATATATATATATATATATATATATATATATATATATATATATATATATATATATATATATATATATATATATATATATTACATATATATTATATATGTATATGACAATATGGTGTATTTGTGCACATCTGTGTGTGTTTACGAAGCTGTCAGAAAGCTACAAGTAAGGATCGAACTCTGTACAATAATAATTAACATTGTTCTAGCTATATGAAGTCGACCTTTAATAAGTTTAGCTTAATCTGGCAAGAAGCCATAACAGGAATCGAACACATTTTGCCAACGACTTGGTCTGCAAGCGACCATGGCGCTAAACATGATAAAAATGTATCCCCCCCCCCCAAGAAAATCAAAAGATTGTCTTCAATCATACACGCTTATCTCTCGAAACGCGTGGAATTGTGTTTCGTGAGGGCGGATGGAAACGCGTGGTTGTTTGGCGAAGGGCGGTGATTGGCACGTGCCTCTTGCCTCACCCTAGACATAGAAATGCTTTATCAGGCAGGCACTGAGGCATACAGGTTGGTCTTTGTAAAGGGTACTGCCTCCTTCGCCTTACCAATTCCTTTACGACGCCGACAACGTGATCGTAAGCAGCCATGGTAATGGCGATCGCTTCTTCTAATTGTATAGAAAACATTCGCATGCGTTTTACGAACGCTGAAAATGTTGCTCAAGATTTCAGCGAAACGCGGGAAAATTTTCGAGATTTGGCGGGAAAATATGTACAAAAAAAAAACAGCATCCAGTGCGAAATAAAAATGTAACGAAATTGACAAATATTGCAGCAAGAAAACGTCGAACGTACTTGGTTAATATAGTGTAACTTTATTTAATGAGTGTATCGAATATCGATCTCATTCTATTTATGAGTATCTATTAATGTTTTAATATCTGGAGTTGCCAACTGACATCATTCTTGCATGCAAAATTCAACTACGTTCATATATATCGATCTGTTTTCTAAGAATTCAAATTATTGCTACTCTTTAAGTTATAAAATGCACAAATAACGCCGTATACCTATTATAAGGTATGTGTAAAAGTTTCCGAAGTTTTTTATTTAAAAAAAAGAAAAAAAATAGAAAGAGACGTGTTTTTATAAAAGAAGCTCTGCGAACATTTGTACATATCTAATGCATATATATATGGGAAATTACGAACTCTTATATGTTAGCAAACATCTATCTATCTATTCTATCAATGGATTCGTTTATGCATACGCCAGTGTATAAATGATATGTGGGAAATGTGAACAAAGAGAGAAATATCGAAAAATTGTCATTAAAAACAAGCCAAGTGGTTTTTGAAATTCATTTCTGCTTACACATTTTCATTCATAATTTAACACCTAACATGCATACAATATAGAACTAATATTTCCTCACTGATATATATATATATATATATATATATATATATATATATATATATATATATATATATATATATATATATGTAAGGATCTTTTAATCTAACTTTAACTCAGATTAATCGAAACGTTATTTTTAGTGGATAAGCATATTTGAGTAGATGAGTCTTTTTAAACAATATGTATTATGTCTACCGGCTTGCACATTCGAGAGACTTAATAAAAGAGATGCGCCCACCGTCAGATTCTGCCTGTTTTAGACAGCTCAGTTGCAGAGAACGCCACAGCCCAGTAATATTTAGTTACCTTTTATTGTTTAGATGTCGCTATATATAAATATAGGAACGTGTCAACAATATAGAGGATAAAGCGTTTATAACATAAAAGTGGACATAGAAATCAGTACTAGATGGTGACTGGCAGTGTCACACCTTAAGCGATCATCAGGCCTTCTCGTATTGATTTCCTTGTACACAATGTTTCTATCTATCTATCTATCTATCTATCTATCTATCTATCTTTCTATCTATCTATCTATCTATGCTCAGATTGTTTATATCAATATATAAATATGAGATGAGACCCACTTTCAAAAATCGAACCGAATGTCAAAACATTGGATTTTTTTGTGAGGGGAAAGGCTTGGATGAGCCGAGAACCTTTTACCTCCTCCCAAATATATATGCATGTAAGCAACACTAGTATGCGCATGCATTGCTGAGATATCTATCTGTCTGTCTGCCTGTCAGGTAAAGAAGTACGTGTGGAGCCTTCAATATGCATTTGTATCGATATTGTAGCAAAGCGCGTGTCCAAGTCGAATTGAGGGGTTGGGAGAGTTGGTGAAACGGTAGGAAACTGAAATTCTAGACAATCCGAAAAGAAAGAAAATGCTGATATAAATTTTAGAAAAAAAGGATGAAATCTTGAATCTAGGTATTTAACATGACCTTTTTGCAATGTCCATCAATGTTGAAAAGCAAAGGAGTGAATAAATAACTTCATGTCGATGGGGAAAGATGAGGAATGGGGAATGATGGTGATAATGATGAGAGACAGGGAAAGAAAGAGAAACGAAGAGACAGACAAAGAAAGGAAAAAATGGAACAAAAAGACAGAGGGGAAAGATGTGAACACATAGAGAGACAGAAAGAGACAGAGAGGAACAATGAACGAGATGGACTGAGATATAGATCGAGAGATAGAAGGAGAAAGCGATAGTGAGAGATATACATATGTTAGGAAAAATAAAGAGAGAGAGAGAGAGAGAGAGAGAGAGAGAGAGAAAGAAAGTGACGGCTACGAACGGATCGGGAGAGATAGAGACAGAGTATTATCTACACTAATGCATCAATACAGAAAGAGATAGATAAAGTGAGTGAGTGAGAGAGAGAGAGTGAGACAGTGAGAGGGGGGATAGAGAGACATATGAACAGTCTAGTAGGATTGTAAGAAAAACATAGAGAAAAGAAACTTCGATATGTATAGATAATTATGTAGATAGAATGAAAGTGAAAGAGAAAGAAAAAGAGAATGAGAGAAAGAGAACAAGAAAAAGATAGGAAGAGTGAAAAAGAGGTATCGAAAGAGAGAGAGAGAGAGAGAGAAAGAGGAAGAGGGGAAGAGAGAGAGGAGGTCTGATAACTGAAAGACGAATACAGACTTGTACATATGTTACATGGATAAAGAAATAAATTGAGAAAAAACGAAAGAAAGTGATGAATCTTGCACGACCTGTTCTAAAAAAGGAATATAGGTAAGAAATATGAAGAAGGTGATGAAAATTGACAATAATTATTTTGAGTCTACAAGAAAATAAAGTAAATTTGTGTGTGTCACGGAAGAGTTGTGTGTCTGTGTAAATTTAGGGATTGACTAATAAATAAGATAGTGTCAGACACACACATATAAACTCATAAAATAGATATAGATAAAGATGGATAGCTATATAAGTAAAATAAAGAGCTTATATATTTACACAAATACACACACACACACACACACACACTCACACACACACACACACATATATATATATATTAAAATTTGTAAATATAAATAGAGATATATCTCTTAGATATAGATGTTTCTGAATAATAAATGCCGATATTAAGTTTGGCTTCAGAACTGTGGTTCGAATTTTAATGTCAACGTAACTAGTCCATCTCGGCGCGCGCACCTTGCCTGTTACGTTGGCGAAGGCAGAACGCGCACTTGTCTGAGCGGCTCGATTTGTCGTTGTCGGCCATGCTTGTGTAATGCAATGCGCGTGTCTCCCTTGCCTGCCGACACAAGTCAGCCTTGCCTGACACGAGCCGGTGTTCTAAGAAGCTCTCACAAAGTAAAAACAGCGCTTCTTTAACAAGTTGGTTCAGGTTCAAACCATTAAGCGGTAGAAGAATTTCTTTCTTTCTTGAATTTTTCCACAGTGTGGTTGTTGGGATTTTAATATCCAAAATTCATGGATATTTACGTAAATATAAACGCAAACACACACGTGCGTACGCACACACACACGCGCACGCGCGCACGCACGCACGCACGCACAGGGAGACTAGATAATATGTACCAGCGTATATTGACAAAAACTAAATAGGACTATGGAGAAAAAATAAAAATATCTAACGGATAATTCATCCATATATGTGTTTTTTTTTCTATATGTTAACATTATTTTGATTTGTAATCATAATTTAATAATTTATATTCATATATATTTAATTCTGTGGTATTCAGTGTTTAGTAATTCAAACAGAAGTATTTAGGTTTAACTCGTACCATCGGTATGCCAACTACCGCCGTATAAGACAAGAAATTGATTTAGAGGTGATTATTTTATTTTATTTTACTTTTTTTCTAAGCACAACTTAAATGAGGAAAATACGGTCGATCGAAATTGTTCATTGTATGAAATTTCGATTATATTTGTAAACACATTTGTATTGGCAAGCAAGAAAATGCATCAAATTTTGCTAGCACTTCGATTATTTAAGATTCAATATTCAACTTAACTTCTTGTTTCGTAAAAATTACCGACAAACACTTTTAAATATTTTCCCCATTTTTATTGAATACTTTTCAAGAAATATCCACATCAAATAAAAACGTATCCCCTATACACTTACAAATGCTGTATGTGAATGTGTGTCTATATGTGTGTATATATGTGTGTGTTAGTGTTAAGAAATGGTAAATACGATACTAAGATGAGTGTGGTTGGTGCCAATTTCTCGCATTTCTTTTTCTTCCATTCGCAGTAGATTTCGAAAGAGGAAGGTGAAAAAACTCTAAGAAAACGAAATTTGGAAAGCGTTCAACACGTAGTGTTTCATATCAAATTCAGAAGGAAAGTTTTATTTAATGCACCATTTCGGTTTATTTATTTATTTTATTCTTAAGTGCAATTTTCCTGTCTTAAAATATGTAGATTTCAAGAAAACGCGCTAAAAACACAGGTAACACATACGCAGGTATATTTCTTGAAATACGTAGAAATATGTCTATTGGATTAATGTTTTGAACAAGTGTCTCTTTAGGCAATTGATATGACACCAAAAAACCAAAGATATAGTGACAAAGTGGGAACACATTTTAGAAAGGTGAAAAGAAAAAAGGAGGATAGAAAGAGAGAAAGAGAGAGAGAGAGAGAGAGAGAGAGAGATCTTATTTAAGTTTTGTATTTAAAATAAATAAAAGTATAACATAAATATATATATATATATATATATAAAACAATCATCTATGAATAGAAATTATTGTATCATGACATTATTTGATGAGAAAGTAAAGGAATTTATTCTCAAGTGTATTTAATAAGTACACACATACATGCGTTTACATGAATATATACATATGTACATTTTTCGTGATCGTAGATACTCACACTGACGTAGCATATGCGTACTAAAGAAATATATTCTTAAATGAAACACACACACACGCACGCTTATATATATATATATATATATATATATATATATATATATATGAAATATTATTATATCGGTTTAATGATGGTGTGTTTCCAAGTTAAATGCGTACTTGCATATGAAGTCTCTCACAAAGACATATCAATTTGATTTCTTCCAAACCTTTGTGTGTTGTTAGTTTAAAGACATACTTATCTCATACAAACCACTAAAAACCTACAGGTGTATGCATGTTATGGTCGATTTCTGTTTATTCCAGTTGATTTTACTTAAATAATTTTATTCTCACAAATGGGTGAATTATTTTCCATACAAAAAAAGAAAAAAAGAAAAAAAAAGAAAAGAAAAAAAACTAAGGCAAAAGTAAATAAAAGGAAATTAAAAATGTTGAAAATACAATGTATTTTGGCACTGTATGAAAGCGCGGTCATCGTCGTCGGCTAAAATAAGCCCGGAATTTGTAAAATAAGACACTGAAAATCTTGTAACGGTAGAAAGGCGAATAGATAGGTTTAGAATAGATCGAGGAAGAGAGATGGGTGTGAAGTTACTTTGAACATCAAATTATACGCAACGAGGAGAAATGGAAAAACAAATTAAAATGAATATTTATTTAGAGACTGGGATATTGGGAGGGAGAGACGAACATGCGAGAGTGGTTCTAATAAGAAGAGTCGAGAATGGTAGATTGGTAAACAGAGAAAAAAGGCAAAATATACAAACATATGCCATATTCTACGTATAGCGACACGCACACAAAGACTCTATTTTCGAGTGCTTTTATTTAAATCATTTCAAATAAAATATTTCTTTGTTTTAATTACAACGAGACTATAAACAACATATTTTTTTAGATAGAGTGTACAAGAAGATTTACGAACGCTACGGTATTTTTACTGTGAAAACAAGTGGAGAATTTATTGTCTCTTTTGAATTGAGTAAACAAAAAAGAAAAGAATTATTGGAAAAAAGTACACAAGCTGGCGTATAAAGTAGTGTCTACCCTTGATTTTGAGCAATATATATATATATATATATATATATATATATATATATATATATATATATATATATATATATATATAATTTAGTAATGTGCTTCGTGTATATCAAAGCGTGTCTAAACATTTGTCTTTGTAAAGAGCGCATATTTATGTGTAAACACGATGATTACATAAAAACACAAGAGAAAGCCAGCCAAAACCCGAAGTAGCATGCACTAGCATGGACAAACGCGCGGAGACGGGAGGGTGAAACTCTGTATGCGTTTGTGCGTGAGTATGTGCGTGCGTGTGCATGTGTGTATGTGTGTGTGTGTGTGTGTGTGCATGTCTGTATGCGTCTGCATTGGAGACACTGCAACCAGTGCTTGCCCGGGTGTGCTGTACAGGTCTCCATATCAACAGATATTAATTATGGTTTAACATTAAATTTTACCGATTTTTTACAACGCGCAACTTATTTTTTGTGATAAAAGCCTCAATTTGATGAATGAAAGAAGATAAAATAAAAATAAAAACACTTTTTAACTAAATTTAATTAAGATGTTTTTTCATTCAAATAACAAACCTACGAAGAAAAAATACAACCTGCCTAATTTTTACCGTAATTTTCACTAATTTTCTAGTTATAAAAGAAAAAAGTATATACATGCGTAGAAAATAACATAACGTAGATATTGAGAAACATTCAAACGATTTGCACGCATATTAAACACGTCTTCTTCTTTTTTTTCATTTTCCGATACTCTGAACAAATTAAGTTTTTTTCCTTTTCTATTCATTTACATACAAGCATTTATCAATTTTTTTTTGCTTATATAGACAACGAAGAAAAATATCTACTTAGCATATAAATGTGTGGGTGTATGTTTACATTATATATAGAAATGAATAGACAAGCATAAGTGTGTTTTTGTTGAATATCTCGGAAAAAAACCGTATCTATGCTTGCACCGATAATATTTTTCTTTTTCTTGTTGTTGTATAGATAGTTTAACGCTTTTTGCATATTTTTTAAAGAAACAATTTTTTCGCTTTTTTCTTTTTGTTTTGAAAATTCAAAAACCGAAAACCCTGAAAGGTATGCGTATGTTTGAATTACGTACCCTTGTGCATTCCAGTAAATCTATCCTTAAGAACTGTCAATTCGTAGATTTGTCCATATTCATCAAAAATCGGGCGCAGGTCCTTTTCCTCAAGATTTCGTGGGATTTGGCCCACGAAAAGCTTTATGGCGTCTTGGTCCTTCATTGGTATGGTATTTGGATGTGATGAATTAGTCGAAGATGACGGCCCGTTAACAACTTGCAAGCTTGATGGTGGTACAGTGTGATCGCTTGTAGTTGCCGGTATAAGCACTCCGGTATGGTGCGGAAGGGCAGAAACGGCGGCCATCTTGCTTTTGTGTGTGTGTGGTGTGTATCCGTAATTCTGTGTGTGTGTGCGTGTGTATGTGTGTGCGTGCATGTGTATGCGCGAGCGTGCGTGCGTGTATAAAGTGATTCAAATCTCGTCGACGGAGTAGGAGGATGCTGAGCAGAGGAATTAAAACATACAGTGAGGAAAGGAAGGGGAGATGCTCATTAAGAGAGAGTGGGAAAATGAGAGTGTGCAGGAGATGGAGAAAGAAATCGTAGAAAAGAGCAAGGAGGAAGAGGAGACTAGAGGAGGAGGAGGAAGAGGAGAGGAATAGTGGGAGTAGGAAAATAGCGTGTTGAGTGTTGAGTTTAGTTGGAGTGAGTCGCTCGTTCGTCGGGCCTTGTTGAGTGAGGGAAAGAAATAGTAAGAGACTCTAAGAAAGAGAGGTGAATAAGCGAATGAGAAAGAAGAGAAAACAGAGAGATACAGACAGTCAACACATTCGCGCGCGCCCACATACACAGAGAGAAAGTGGGTGGAGAGAGGCAGAAAGTTGGAAAGAATAGGGAAATAGATATAAACTGAGACACATAGATAGATAGATAGATAGATAGATAGATAGATAGATAGATATGAACAGACTTAGGCAAATAGATAGATATAGAAAGACTTAAATAGATAGATAGATAGATAGATAGATAGATAGATAGATATGAACAGACTTAGGCAAATAGATAGATATAGAAAGACTTAGATAGATAGATAGATAGATAGATAGATAGATAGATAGATAGATAGATAGATATGTACAGGTCGATAAATGTGAACAGACTGATGCAGATATTAAAGTAGAAAGCGCAAGAAAAATGGGAAGCGAGGTAGAAATAAAGAGAGATCTGACTAGAGAGAGATAAAAGTAGAATTATGGACAGACAGCGGTAGATGTGAGTATATGAACACACACGCACACACACACAGAGATGGAAAAGAGATAGATGTAGGGACGGATGGAGGAAGGGAGAGAGAGAAAGACGTGGAGAGAGAGAGAGAAAGAGAGAGAAAGAAAGAGGAGGGATTGTGACCAAAGGAAAATAGAATAGACAGAGATAGACTGGTAGTTTAAAAAAATAGCTGCCTACCACTCTTGCTAGATAATTTAGATATGAACACACGAGAGAAATAGATCGATCGATCGATCAATCGATTGAGAAACAGACATAAACAGAGAGAAATAAGAACAGACAGGGATCAATAAGAACTGATAGATAATCAGTGAGTTCATATAGATGGATAAGAAGATAAAAAGAGAGAAGATCTGGTCATTAGAACTGATAAGAGTGATATACATAAATCAAATGTTAGTTATATTGATAGATGAATTAAGATAGAATGAATTATCAATTTGGATTCGATAGCGGAATCATCGAGGAGATAATTTATAGATCGATGCGTATATAGTAAGAACGTGATGTACAGGTTTAAAATGCATGTATGTGCGTATTTTTTTATCGCATTGTAACTGATGGTTTACACTGGCGATCAAGTGACAGCAAGTCACCTCAATATTCCAGCACTCTCCTCAGTATTATAGCTATTTTAGTAATGGTGCAGTCTGGATAGTTTCTACTGTCCCTTGGTTTTTTACTTCTTTTATGATTATTATATATGTTCATTCACTGAATGTTCACTATAGTAAAAACTGGTGGTTTACACTGGCGATCAAGTGACAGCAAGTCTAGCAAACTTTCGACTTCTCTTCTTAGTATTGTAGCTGTTTTCATTAATGTCATCTAGATGCTTCCGACTGTTATTTCTACAATTATTATGACTATTAAGTAAGGTATAAATTGTAATAAACACACACACGCGCGCACACACACAAATTATATATATATATATATGTATATATATATATATATAGAGAGAGAGAGAGGGGGGGGAGAGGGGAGAGAGAGGGGGAAGGGAGATAGAAAGAATATTTTATATGTATTATAGAACGATAACTAGATATAAAATGTTACATTGAAGTTGGCATATGTTTTTTGAATAAGTAAATAAAAAACTTTTATAGAATCCATGTTTCAAATCCATAAAGTTTGTAGTTAATAAAAATAGTGGGATAAATTTATAACTGGGTAGGAATTAAGCTGGTAGTTACGTAAACGTTAAAGGAATTTGAAAGATTCATGCCGAAGTCTGTGTCTTACGGAATACCCTCAGAAATTCGAACTCACTATGAGTAGTTTGCGAAATTAGCTCTCCATCTACTGTACTAAAGAATTATCTGAAAATACTGAAAAATAGGAAGATACGAACATATTGAGATTAGCTGTGATAGATAGATAGATAGATAGATAGATAGATAGATAGATAGATAGTCTGTAAATTGTAAAACATCTGATCATTCGTAATTAATGAAAAAGTTGGGTGAATATCATATACATTGAAAGACGCCTCAAACAATGAACTGAAAGATGTTTATGTAATATCAGTCTCTAATATAATACCAAACACGAGGCGGGGTTGGGGTGGAATGAAGATTGGAGTTGGATTTAAAACTTGTAGAGAGAGAGAAGTGGAGAAATTTCCATTTTGGGTTTCTTAAGTGTCTACTGCCTTCAAATTTTTGCCACATTTCCCCCCCACCCCTTTTATGTTAGTCTCTTGGCGGAGAGATCCCGATATAAGGTACTCTCCCTCCCTATCTCTCTCTTGCCTTCTCTCTTATCTGCTCATAATCTCTCTTTTCCTTATAGCAGCCTAGAGGTTCCTTTCGTCTTCATAGAAGGTATAAAAGCGTCGTACTATTAACAATGAGAATGTTCTGCCTCTACCTGCCTGGCATGCTACTGATGCTTCGAGCTCTCGTTAGACGGACGTCGTGGCTGATAGTGGCGTGGTAGCTACGGAGAGGCTGCGCTAAGCGGTTGGAACTAGTAAGAGAATCGCAAGCAACACAGCCAATTCCACTATCTTATTTATTTACTAAATGACGAACAAATGAGGGGGAAAATGTCATGTCTTATTATTACCATTATTTAGTATCATTAACTACTGTTACTTCCGTAAGAACAATAGTTAGTAAGCTCGTTTCGCATACCATTACCATTGATGCATTGAGTTCAAGTTTCAATGGACTCGCAGCTGTGGTGGCCTTGTGCCAGACCAAGCTAAACTTAATAAATATCCAATGTTACTACTGTAAGCACCTGCTACAGAATGATGCTTAGCAAGCTCTTTACGTTACTGAGTGTTCCACGGTTGTGGCTCTCTGCCAAATTAAGATAAACTTAGTTAAGAAAATCGGCTGTTGAGAAAAATAAATAAATAAGTTCGATCCACAATATGCTCCAATATTGTTTTATTGAAGCACATTAGACTACCAAAAAATGATGTTCCGTAAGAAAGTCTCGTAATATATTGCTAGTGAAATAAGTTCGATTCTCCCTCTGCGCTCTTTTGGCCTTGTGCCAAACCAAATAGTTACAGTTCAAATACAATTCAAATCTGGATCATTTATTTATCTAACTTCTAATTCGACAAGCATTATCTGACACAAGGCAAATGAGATTTTTTTAAAAATTGATAATGTGAATTTAGCATTGGCATGTTTTTGAAACATCACCAAGAAGAGAAAGTGAGCATGAAGCAGAATAGTGAATGTATGAATTTGACAAAGAACAAAAAGAGAAATGAAAAGAGGAAGGTATGAAAAAAAAAAGAAAGAAAGACGAAAAAGATAGAGAAACAGAGAGAAAAAGAAAGAGTTTTAGAGATAGTGAAAAGGAAAGCGTGGACAAGAGAGTAAAAGAAAAAGACGAAGAAACAAATAGTGAACAAAAGCGTGTATACGCGCATGTGTATGTGTGTTTATGTATGTGAGTGGGTGAGATAGAGATAAAGCGAGAGAGATATTGTAGGTACAGAGCTATAAAAGAACAAATGATTGAATCCTTTGGTGAAGTCGTGAAGAAAATAAGAAAGACGGGAAACAAACTCTCAAAAAGTAAAATAGAAAGAAAAAGAAACAAGAAAACAAAGGAAAATGAAGGGAAAAAGAGAAGGACAATTCTTTCTGAAAGGCAGAAAAATCGATGTGGACGGATTGGAAGATAAAAAGACTGAAAGGAAAAGAAAAATTGAAAGACAGAAATAAATCCATTGATAAACGAAGAGAGAACGAGAGAATGAGAAAGCGAGTGCAAGAGTGAGTAAATTAGCGAGATAGATAGATAGATAGATAGATAGATAGAGAGAGAGAGAGAGAGAGAGAGAGAGAGAGAGAGAGAGAGAGAGAGAGAGATAAACATGGCGAATTGATAGAATTCGAAATGTGTGTGTGTAGGAATGTGTAAAAGAAAGAAAAAGGCACAGTAAGGAGAGAAAGAAATTGTCGAGGTGAATCTTAAATTTATTTTAAATAGGGTTTTCACACACACACACACACATATATATATATGTGTGTGTGTGTGTGTGTGTTTGCGTGAGCTTGTCTGTGTAGGTATGTGTAAAAGAAAGAAAGAAAAGCACAGTAAAAAGAGAGAATTTGTGGAGATGAATCTTAAATAAATTTATTTAGGGTTTTCATAAGAAGTGACTAGTAAGCGTGAAGAAAGAATAACCGAAGAAAAAATGTAAAAAAACAAAGAAGCAATTCAGAGTAATGAATAAAAAAACAAAAAGAATGAAATCTAGGGAAATACAAAAAATAAAAAAAAGGTCAAAGTCAGGAAAACTCTAATAAAAAAAGATAATAATGTATAAGAAAAAATAGGAGCGAATTTATAAATCAGTAAGTAATCAAGGTGTGTCTGCCTTCTGTCTGTGTGTCTGCCTTCTGTCTGTGTGTCTGCATGCCTTCTACGATTTTCTGGGGAAAGAAAAAGTAGTGACTTTTTACGAAAGAATATTAAAAAGACACAAAAAAGTAAACGGAATAAATAGTACTAATGAATAAAATAGTACTAATGAATACGGATTTATTTCTTGTTATTTATTGGAGGCATAGAGAGTCAGGGAAATGGATTGATAGTGTGAACAGCTCTACAGGAGGAGCAGAAAAAGAAAGGAGTGAAGATATAGGGATGCTTTTTATTTTGACGAGTGCGGGTAGAGAATGGATTTCTTGCGGAACTAGTTGATATACGGCAGAAAAAATATTGCCAAATGAAATACATTGATGAAAGAGATGTAAACAGTAAGGGAAAGAAAAAAAGAGAGAAGAAAAGTAAGGGAGAAAAAAGACAAAAGAAAGTAAGCATTAAAGAAATTCAGAATGGCAGACAAGTTTGTTCTGAGAAAGAATTTGCAACTTTAACAAAAAGGGAAGGAATGAATACAGCAGAAATGAATGAAAGAAAGTAAAGAATAAACAAAAAATGAACTGAAGAAAGAAATGAACTGAATTAATAAAATGGCCACGAATAAATGATGACATAAGATAAACGGAAAGAAAGAAAGAAAGAAAGAAAGAAAGAAAGAAAGAAAGAAAGAAAGAAAGAAAGAAATAGATGAACAGGAGAAGGAAAGACGTTGTGTTTGTTTTAAAACAGAAAAGAAAATTAAATAATTGGTGAAAACGTGATTTCTAGATAGAGAGAAGAGAGAGTTAGAGAGAAGAGAGAATTAAGAGAAGCGATGGAGAAAGAAGTTTAGAGACAAAAGAGAGAGCGGGGAGAGGAGTAAGTGAGATAAAGAATTTAGAAATATGAGAGAGAGAGAGAGAGAGTTGAGAGATAAGAAGGCATTGAAAGATAAGAGAGCAAACAAGAGAGAAAGAGAAAAAAGTTAAAGAAAATAAACAAACCTGATGATTAAAATAATATTGACGAACGATAAGATAAGCGAAAACGTGACAAATAAGGAAATTGGAAAGAAAGATTTTTATAAGAATAAACAAAATTTAAGAGAATAAGCAGAAGAATGAAAAATAATCACTAAAAAAGAAAGATAAATGAATGAATGAATGAAAAATAAAGGTAGAACGACAAGGAAAAAAGATATGAAAGAAGTGGGAAAACACGAAAGAAGAAAATCTCGAATGAAGTTAAGCAAGAGTAGAAGAAGGAAATAAAGATGAGAAAACGAGAATGAAGAGAAGAAAAAGAAATGAAAAAAAATAGGAAAGAAAGGAGAAAGAGAAAGAAGGAGGCGGTAAAATAAAAAACGAAAAAGAAAAGAAGAGGAGGGAAGGAAGAACTATAGAGAAGAGGAGACAGATAAAGGAAGAGAAAGTGAGAAGGAAGAAAGAAAGGATGAAAGAATGACAAAGAATAAAAGTATCAAATTTTTTATGAATGAAAGTAAAGTAATGGGTAAAAAGTGATGAAACAATGGAATGAAGAAAAAAGACAAAAAAAGAAAAATCAATGAATAAAACAAGAAAGTTGAGAAAAAGTAAAAAGAACTGATAGCAAAAGAAGAAAAAAACAAAGGAAAGAAATTAAAAAAAACGTGGAAAGAAAGAAAAAATGGAAGAATTGTGAAAGTTCCAATAATTATAGAAAGAACGGAAAGAGAAAAGAGAGAGAGAGAGAGAGAGAGAGAGAGAAAGAGAGAGAGGGAGAGAGAGAGAAAGAGAGAGAGGGGGGAAAACGTAAGAAACAGTGAGCGAAAGAGCGGGAAACAGAAAGAGAGAGAGAGAGAAAGAGAGTTTTGTGAGGTAGAGAAAAAAAGCAAAGAGAATGTGTAAAAAGAAAAGAAAAAGAAGAGGGAGAGAGAAAGTCAAGAAGCAGGTAAAAGCTATAAAAGAGAGGGTAAGCGAGAGCACAAAAGCGACAGAGAGAGGGAAGGAAGTAGTAAAGCAAAGGAGGACATATAGAGCGAGTAAAGAAGAAAAAGGAGGAAGAGAGAGGATTGGAATGAAATGACTTAAAGGTAAATGAGAGCGAAGCACGAAACAAAAGAGAGAAGGGGAGGAAAGAGGAGAGAGAAGATAAAGAGAGAGAGGGAGAAGGAGAGCAAAAGAGAAACACAGCAAGCGAGAAAGGAAAGAAAGAGAGAGAACAAGAGAAAGTAAAAGAGAATAAGAAAAAGAAAGAGAGAGATAGAGCAAAAGAGTATAAGAGAGAGAGAGAGAGAGAGAGAGAGAGAGAGAGAGGACATAAAAATATATCAAGAATAAGATAAAAGAAAACGAAAAAGGCTGTAGATAGAGAGATAAAAGTAGAATTTGGAAAGAACCTAGGAATAAAAGAGGTTTAGTTCTAGTGAAAGAGTCAAAAATGGAATGGATGAAGGGAGGGAGAAAACTGTATCATTTGGAAATCTCACTGCTTTACCACTACTTTGCTACTATAACGATATTCGAGTTTCTCGTGCCGCTGCTAGCACAACCAACATCGAAGCTTCACCATGGATAAATCTCGCTTCAGTCTTCTTCGTATACAAAACACATTGGTAAGCAAAGAGTGGAAAGGAGGGAAATAAATGGTAATGTGTGCTTGGTTCATGAGTGCCAGCCAACGTACGTACGTACGGGCAGACGATTATTCATTCACTCGCGTGCGTGCGTGCGTGCGTGCGTGTGTGTATGTATGTGTGTGTTTATACAGAAAAAGGATTTTAGAAGGTATGTTCGTGATCGTATCTCTTGTGCATGTGTAAGTGTACGCCAGGCGTTTTATGTCTATATGATAAGTACATTCGTGAAACCATGAAAACAGTTCTGTAGGGTAAGGTAGGTACTCAAGTAAGGGAAATCCAGTCTTTATATTTCAAGTGGACGGAAATTGAAACATTTCTTTTTCTTAGATTACTTATTCAACTTATATTTAATTTTTCAAACAGTTTTCTTAGCTTAGTCTCAGAATCGAACTAATATCACCAGTAAAGAAAGACTCTATGGTCACTCATAATAAACAAATTCTATCTATAAAAATTCGTTTTGGTTATGAAAAAAATATTTTTGAATATAAAAATTATATTAATTTTCACTAAAGAAAAAGATTCGGTGTAAATTAGATGTAAACTAATCTTAGATTCGGGCAAGTTTTTGCGGCTGGCGAAGTCAAGTTTGGCAAATGAAAACTATCATCTTTCATCAAGATATTTCAAAAGAGGATACGATAGAAAAGAAAACTGAAGATTTTCTAAGACTTTCATAGGAACGACCTAATTTCTGTGGATGTATAGGAACAAATACATTCAAATGTACTTGCATTAACGAAGAAAATAAAAAGAAAATTAATTTTTAAAATTAATCCAGATCTGGTTATATAACAAAAAATTTGTATCCCTTAAACAATAATGCATTCATTTACAATATAGAAGTAACTAGTGTAAGTCAGCATTTATACACCAAAAGTACCTTTCAAAAATTTCTGATGTTCGGTCTTTTGGTTATATTTTTGGAAATGGATCAAACCGAGAATTTTAAACCAGGGAGCTCGATTAGTACCACAAAATATCGGTAGGTTTTGTTAGCAATTTTTCAGAATTTGAGAATATCACATTCGTTGTCCGAGCTTGAAACCTCTTTGTCTATTTCCGCCTTTATACTGCTATATGTAAAATCATTTGAGATTATTTTCCTTACCTTTTTTTACGATTAAATCTTCCAAAATAGATTTGATGATATTTATCTACTCAATTAGTGTTAGTGAAATACGTGAATTGATAGCAAATAAGAAATAATTAATGCTATTATTTTATTTCAGTAATTATTAATACTTTAGTATAATGAATTCCTCATAAGTATTCGACACCCTTACCTAATACTTAGTAGAAGCTCTTCTGTCACTGATCACTGCAAATAGACATTTTCCCTCAGCTTTTGATAAGGCTTCTGCATCTTTTAACTGTTATGTTTTTTACTGTTCTTCTATAAAGAAATCGGCTCAAATATTTCAGATTCGATGATTTCTCTTTATAATCAGCATCTTTCAATTGATATCACAAATGTTCGATTATTAGGTGACTGGGAAGATTATCCTATCTTTCTAACTTTATTATTCTTAAATAATTTTGAAGTGATTTTCGTGATATGTTGACTTGTAGGAAGATGAATCGTCAACCAAGACAAAACTGGAGAGTAGAGGCTAATGATTGGCGAAATAATGCACTGATATTTTAGCGAATCCAATTCAGTCTTGATCCTGGTGAGTTTCCTACTAACTTTTGCGCTATAACAACCCATTAAAATGATGCCACCACTGCCATCATGCCTCGCTATTGAGACAGAGTATTTTATACAATGTGCGTTGTTATTGTTCGCCAGACATAGAGTTGTTGGTTATATCCTAAAATCATAGTTCTTGTTTCGTCTGACCAAGAAGATATATACCAGTAATTATTCAATCGTTTCGTTTTC